TGGGAGCGGGTGCATGAAGCCTGGAGTGGCTGTAACGGCCGAACGGCCGACTTGGATAAGTAAGTACGACCCCTTCGCAGCCGACTATCTCCTGCTAGGTTGAACGCCGCCTACATCTGTACAAAGTCTCCATGCGCAATAACTACCCACCTATCAGTAGGCCCGAGCTTCTCGCTGGCGCGCAGCGCCAATTGCCTGTTGCTAGCAACGTCAACACAGTCAGGTTGCTGCGCGCCTGGCAGGCAAATTAGCACGCGACTCTGGCTTGTCAACACACATGCACACGCCGTATCTGTCTCGCTGTTCGTCGTAAATTCGATATAAGATCGCGCGGAGGTGTGCGGCGGCGTGTTCAGCGTGCTGAGTGGAAACAACAACCGATGCGCCTTCTTCCCCCTCCAGAGCCAGTCGCCCGCGTTCAGCCCGGCGCACATCCATTTTCATCTGCACCACAAAGGGATTACGGTACGAGAAGCACTGGTTCGTGTACACTTGTTGCCTAGTGATCAAAACGCAGCAGATGCTAACCTGTTTTGAAGGATTGGTGCCGATGGCGTACCTGAGAAGAAAGGATCGTATTCGGGTACATGATGCGCCAGACCGGATCACGAAGAAGTGATCTTCGCGGATGGCGTGCACGTTCACTCACCAAAACTATGCTTTCGGTACTGATGAACCTATACGCGTGTGAGTCTTCGTTCAGGCACAAGACCGAACGGCGCGACGCACAGGCAGAGCAGCCCCGTGTTGGTGGTGTACACAACGAGCACATTCACCAGCGAGCGTCGGCGGGTCGAACTTTCAGGAGCAGGAGGGGCTTGGATTCGCGAGTGTGCGACTGGATATGTACGTCCCGGCGGATCCAGATCAACTCATGTCAGAAGCTGACGTCTGTCCCACGGGAACCGGTGCTCTCTGGGAACCTCCTCAATCGTCGGACATGCATCGAATGCCTTCGCCGATGAACGTCGGCTGATATTTCGTTCATGGTGGCCATCTTACAGATAGATGGGACTATATACCTGGAGACAGGCTGCTCACAGAGACCCCGCCCGCTCTCAGCCCACTGCCTGGCAACATAGCTTGCCAAGATGTCGCCCATTCCTGACCTTGCTACCATTTCTGACATTGACGGACACGCTTTTGATTTTGTTATTATCGGTGAGTTGACACTTTGATCAGCTGTCCTTTAGAACTAAAGAGATATGTGTATACAGGCGGTGGTGTACGAGACCTTTACCGCAAACATACACTATGGCTAACTTGAACCTTCGTAGACCTCGGGATGCGTCTTGGCCAACCGGCTTTCTGAAGACCCTCATGTCTCAGTTGCAGTGCTCGAGGCAGGCAGGTCGCGCTTGGATGACCCGGTCGTCTGTGAGCATCTCGCGAGATTTCTATATTGACATACCGCTGACGACACTCAGTGAGTCCCGTGGGATACCTCAAGGAATTCATGAACCCCGAGTATGACTGGCTATTTCCTGTTGCGCCGCAACCAAACGCGTCGACCGCGCACATGATCCCTTGGAACCGGTCTGTCTCATTACATTCCGTACATGCCACCCTTGCTCAAAGCATCTTCCGTCAGGGGAAAAATGCTTGGCGGATGCTCTTCGATCAATGTCATGGCATACACCAAGCCCGCTCGCGAGGAGCTCAATGGTGCGTCTGAGCTTTGCTGCGTTGATGTTTACGCTTACTTCCAGGCTCTGCTTATGCCCAGCCCTTGAGACTCTTGGAAATCCCGGGTGGAACTGGTCTTCGTACCAGAAGTACGCGAACAAGGCCGAAAAGTGCGTCTAGAACATCCATGAGCTAGTGTTTCATGTCTTTGAAGGCGCTTCTGGTAGATTCTGCACCCCCGCGCCGGCGATTATGGATGAAGATTTTCGCAACTTGTACAACCCTGATTCCGTCGGACATGATGGTCAGTCCCTCTCCACCTTCAATTGCACGGCAATTCAAACTCAAGTAACAGGAAATCTGACACTATCCTTCGTTCCAACTGGGTCCAATGCGGACTCTGCATTTCAGAAGGTACACATTTCTAGCTATTATTCGGTGCCTTAGATCCTGATGTCCCGGCTCCGAGTAGAGTCTGGCTAAGAATGGATTGAACATACGGTCCGATGTGGTATGCATATTGTAGCATGTTTAAGCCCATTCGGTGCTGATTCGACGTGCATCGCAGCTCGGTGGAGAGGTTCGTACTGCACTCCTGCTCCCCGTCAGATTCTGATTACCTCCAGATTACCGGTATTGCGAAGGCGCTATCAGCTTTTGATTCTGAGACGGGGTACCGAGTCAGTGCTGCGACGGTAAATTTTATCATTTTTAGCGAATACAAATATTTGCTGTTGCTCATGAGCCCGTCGCGTCAGGCGTACCTGCTTCCAGCTCTCGACAGAGCAAACCTCAAGATCCTCACAGAAGCTTATGTCTGCCGGATCGTCACAGAAATGGAAGCCGGCGGCGTCGTCGCTCGTGCGGTCGAGTTCGAGCATGGCGGCAAGCAGTACACCGTCTCAGCGGCGCGCGAAGTCATCGTCTCTGCTGGGTGGGT